TAGAATAGCGTTTTGGGGTATAGTATACTATTATTGCAGCAAGGAGCCCCTCAAATAGTATAAGTAATTTGTCAGGCTCCTATAGTACGCCCTCTTGAAGTCTCAGACAAGTCGGCACACGAAGACTTTCAACCACTCGATCTCCAGAACGACAGCCCAAAAAATACGTCCATACTAATATAGGGGCCATAATTTAATAAATAATGGGGTTTCGGGGTGCTTGCGGACATAAGTCAGAGACGGTTGAATCTTCACATGACCTGTGCATCACATGAACGTTTGGGGTATATTCTACTCTAATTATGATTTAAAACCCAAATAGTGTTGGTTTAGGCCCTGATATTAAGCGGGTAAATTACTGTTGGAGAGGTTTTAAAAGGGTGGTAAAGGGTGGTAAAAAGCTGCTAATCGATGCACCAACCATCGAGTCCATCGAATAAATCGAGCTGAATCTTGCAAAATGATCAACATAGCGGCCAACATGACATGCCAAGAAATAAATATAAGCACGCAGACCGGGAAAAGAACACACTAACGAGCTCAATAATTGGAATGAAACCAAAATGGCGAAGCCTATGTCCTGAAAACCCTAGATTCAACCCCTGTCGCTCGCATCTCACCAATCTCTGGCCCGGTACGAGAACGAGCTCAACTTCCAAATCATCAAACCTCGGAGATGTTTGCGGTCTACCTTAACCTACCAAAGCCTACTTGTTGTAGGGTCCATGCAAACTCCATAGAATATTAGGGTCTGACATAAGAGCATACAAAAAGTAGGTATTGGCAGGTTGAGGTCTAGGGTTTGGGATCCAATAGCCTAATTACTGTTGTCACGGCAGAACACTGAGACGACGCGCATAACAAACTATCGTGTAGGGGCTGTTGGGGCATGGGTGTGGGGCCACAGCTCATGGCGTTTAGGCGTTTAAGGCCCTAAACCCTACCCAATGTAAGGGCCTTAATAATTAGAAAAGGGTTTTGGGGCAGACTATACTATAATCATAATAAGGAACCCCCCCACAATAGTATTGGTAATTATTTAGGCTTCTATATTGAACCCTGAGGCTCTTTAGATTTAAGGTTTTGCTTGTTGAGCTCTTTTCCCCTGCCCTGCACTAAGTCAGATCCGCAGGATTGGTGTCTCTGGTTCAGGGTTTAGGGTGCGTTGATCCAGGTTTGGGGGTTTAGGCGGATTAAGTCCGCCACTGCTGCAAATGATCACCATAACGATAGTTCGAGAACAAACGCCTGAACTAGCTTCTCCAGGAACCACGTCAAAACCGTCGTGTGCCATTCTTCTGTGCGTCTGGATGGACGGGGAAGTGCCAACAAAAAGAAAAGCTGAATCTGATACCGCTGGGTGATATTGTCATATCAATAAATTAAACCCTCCACCCCAAACTCAACCCGCTAAACCCCATGTTTTATGCACCTGGGCTCCTGGCCATTCGGGGCACAACCCGGGTTTAGGAAGGGTGCACCGAAAGAATCAACAACGCGAAGAGAAGCGGTGGGTCCTGCCTGTCCTAAGCCCCAACCCTAAACCCTAAACCCTAAGCCCCAACGAAAGTGTGGCATTCCCCGACAGATCGACTGTCAACTACAAGACTAGGAATGGACTGCGCATCCTAGAAGTTGGGGCTTGAACCGTCAGGATTTGGAGCCAAACCCGATACCCTAAGCCCCATCCAAAGGCTTCTGGATATTGGGATAAAGGTGTCCTGATTGCGGTGTCCTAATTCTACGTCTAGCTGCAGCCTACCCTAAGGCTCACGGACCCCCCCATCGTGAAAGCCCAAACCCTAGCCCCCACAGCCCAAACCTTCCCCTAGAAACCCCTTTAACAGCAATAAGAGCCTTAGGGTACTGACTGGGACCTAGACCCTAAACCCTAAACCCCATCTTCGCAACTTTAATCCCGACACCCTAAAGCCTGCACGCTAAACCCTAAACCCTAAACCCTGAACACGAAACTCTGGGTTTCTTTAACCCTAAACCCTAAACCCTAAACCCTAAACCCTAAACCCTAAATCGGAAGGAGCCTACTCCCATGAGAAAATGGAGCAGACACTGGCAGACCCCGCAAGCCCTGAATAGATAGTAAGGAATCAATCGCAAACACTGAAGCCTCAACCGTGGGCCCTTTAGGATTTACGGCTTTAGGGTTTAGGGTTTAGGCTTTATAGGGTTTAGGGTTTAGGGTTTAGGGCTTTATAAGGTTTAGGGTTTCAAACTCTGAGGGCAAAGCCCTTGAACCGTTGCATTGCCAACGCGCAGCTTGAACTCTGCAGCCTGGACAGGATTGTGTCACGCCAAGCCATAAACTCCCTAAGACTTAGCCCGTGACGGTTTAGAGTTTAGGGGTTTAGGGGTTTAGGGTTTAGGATTAAGTAACTAAGATGAAGGGCTTAGGGTTTAGTGCTTAGGGGTGATATTAGGTATAAAGTACCGTAGCTGGGGATGGCAGAGAAGTTGCGACTGAGTCTTGAGTATAGTTTGCCTTACCAAATTACCTTTTTAGGGTTTAGGGTTTAATCATTAACCCTAAATCCTAAATCGTAAACCCTAAACCCAGATTGAGAACATTAGCGACTAAGTCTCGTTGTCCTGTAAAGCCTCGGGAGGGTAGGCCCGGGTCCTGGATGACTCCTAAACCCTAAAAGCCCTAAAACCCTAAACCCTAAAACCCCCTAAACCCTAAACTCTAAACCCTCCGAAACCCTAAAACCCCTAAAACCCTAAAACCTAAATCCCCCTAAACCCTGAACCCTAAACCCCAACACCCTAAAATCCTAGACCCTAAACCCCCTGAACCCACCTAAACCCTAAACCCTCCTAAACCCTAAACCCTAAACCCTAAACCCTCCAGGGTGTAGGGTGTAGGGTTCCAGCTCCCCGGCTTTCTTCCCAACCCAGACGCCCGAAACCCTTCTAACCTATCTATCCCTAAAACGCCCCTACTGAACCCATATGGGTAGTTGTCCAAATTAGTGTCCCTCTTGGGGGTACCCTAAATAATAGGTGCCGTATTATAATAAGGACCCAAAAAGGGACCATAATTTTGACAACCACCCATATCTACATCTACACATCATATCGTACTGCAAAATATACCACATTATACTACGCACCAATAAACAAACCCAGAAAACAAAATACTAGATGTGTGTGTGTATATACCAAATAAATAAACAAATCAAGAAATCAATGTTTGTAAATGACTACCTACCTATCTGTGTGTCTGTCTATCTATCTATCTATCTGTCTATCTACCTATCTATCTATTTATCTATCTATCTACCTAACTACCTACATACATACCTATCTATCGACCGATCTATCTATCTATCTATCTATCTATCGATCTATCTATCTATCTATCTATCTATCTATCTCTCTCTCTCTGTCTGTCTATCTATCTGTCTATCTATCTATCTGTCTATCTATCTATCTATCTATCT